ACATATTAGACCAAGAAGGATGATTATATCTTTGTGGGTGATCTTTCTCAGGTCACGAAGTTTTTTCTGTGAGGTACATGAAAAGAATGCTTAATCTTAATGATTAAGGTGATTGGCCACTGTTAGCTTTGTTTTATATTTTACATTCTCCTATAAAAATATGTGTTTAGTCAGAACAAAGTAATATACGTAATGTTTACTTTTAACATAAAATATATCCTTGAATACAATATTTTCATCAGTGGACTATTTGAAATGAGCAGATAGAAGAGTGAAGGGATATAAACTATAAATGTTTATTAAGCTGTAGAAGAAAACAAATGAAATTGAGTGGACCAGAAATAAGGATTTATCAAGAGGAAAATAATTTGAGTTTCATTTTGCAGTATAAGTCTTCCTGCATGTGTTTTTACTGATTTAAATATATTGTTTATGTATGAAAAATTATTTTCTTTTGTTTTTATTGAGGTTTGCTGTTGAGGCCCATGACCCACTAGTTGAAGCACTAGTTACAGAAGCATGGAGAAGGCTGGAAAGGCAAGTACTCTGGGTTCAACTTTGAAGGTCAGGGTTAGCACAGTGAAATAGGAAAAGAACATGGAGCTGCTAAAGCCTACCTGTAAACATCATTGAAAAAAATGTATTTAAACTCAGTTTAGTTTAAGGGTTTTTGATTGTGTGATGTATATTCTTTCTTTAAGAGAGAAAAGAAAGTATTTCAAATATTTCCTCTTTAAAAGTGGAGAATAGTGTACTTTTCCACATGTGTAATTAATCAAAACATAAGTAAAGTTGGGCAAGGTGGCTCATGCCTATAATCCTAGCACTCTGGGAGGCCAAGCTGGGTGGATTGCTTTAGCTCAGGTGTTTGAGACCAGCCTGAGCAAGAGTGAGACCCTGTCCCTAAAAAAAAAGCTGGGCATTGTGGTGGGCACCTGTAGTCTCAGCTACTTAGGAGGCTGAGGCAAGAGAATCACTTGAGCCCAAGAATTTGAGGTTGCTGTGAGCTATATGTAATGCCACAGCACTCAATCCCAGGGTGACTGAGTGAGACTTTGTCTCAAAAAACAAAACAAAAGTAAGATAGTCACAGCTATTCATGGAGTAGTTTTTTTGAATCTTCTTTTCTGTTTCAGAATGAAAAAATTCTCAATTGATTGGCTATCAATTAAAACCTAGAAGTTCAGGAGCACGATAGGAGAGAAGAAAGCCATGTAACATTGTTTAGGAGCATGTGTTGCTACTTGTCTTTCATCCATCTTTATGGAGAAGCAATGACCAGAATTTATAAGGGACTTAGAAGGTCTTTTTTTTTTTTTTTTTTTT